TTATCAAAAGAAAGAGATGAACGAGTATCACTGAAATCATCATCTGGATTATAATCACTATCATGTTGATCAATCAAAGTCGATGATGATGATGATGGTGATGATGAAGGAGACATAATCGAAGTAGACGATGATGATGGAAGAAACGATGATTGCGATGATGTTGAAGGTAACACTGAAATATCATTGTTATCACTTGAATCAAAATCATTATCACTTTGTTGAGTTGTTGTATTTGTTTCATTATCACTAGTTATAGAATTAGAATGAACAAATGCAGATGATAACGATTCACCAGTTGAAGAAGAATCTGATGAATGATGATACGAAGATTGATTTGCTGAATCACTGCTGAAATACATTTCATTCTCAACAAATTTAACATCATGCATAATATAAATCGCATGATCAGTAGGATCAAGAAGACGATACATTGCTGGAGATTTCGTATAACCGAGGAAAAATAAACGTTTCGATGTTGGATCCAATTTGGATTCACGTTTGACTTTCGGTAGATGACCATAAGCAACACATCCAAACGTGCGAAGATGATTATACGTTGGCTTCTTATCGAAAAACTTCTCATAAGGAGATAATCCATCATCTCTTATCCAGATATTAATGAGACAAATGGCGGTGATCATTGTTTCCGCCCAATAATAATGCGGAACATTAGCAGAATTAAGTAATGTTCGTACAGTACCAAACACGGTACGATTCATTCTTTCAACGATACCATTTTGCTCTGGAGCATAGCCCACAGTTGTCTCATGTTCAATACCATTTTCAAGACAGAAATCATCGAGAGTTGAATTAACAAATTCTCGACCACAATCAGTACGAATAAACCGAACAACACGTTTATGACGACGTTGACGGTAATTGATGAAATCAATAATAGCTTCAGCAGCATCTGATTTGGATTTCAATGGTATTCCAAAGCAGAATCGAGAATAATGATCAACAATAAGCATACCATACTTACAGCCGGAGACAGATAATGTTGGACTTTCCCACAGGTCAATATGCAGGA